CAGTCAAAGACCAACTGAATCGAGAATACACTACAGTCTTTTTCCAAGTGGGGTCTCACTGCCAATCTAGACTGTGAACGAATAGTTTAGTCTTATAAGGAACCGATAGGTAATCTTTCTGTTCGAAACTCTTCGAACCACACTACCTCAATATAAGGCATGGAGTATGTATTGCATAAATAAATAAACTGCAAACATATGTACTTTGACCGAATCATGATTTCCAGATCAAAACAGAATTGATAGAAACTGCAAAACATAGCTTTTACAGCATACCTCTAACAGAACATTGCACCTGCGTCATCGACGTATTCTGTATAACTGATCACATCTGTAACTCAAGCTAGTAACCTCAATGTACTATAATGCTAACTCTCTGTGATCTCCCAATGTACTTTGACTCAGGCATGGCATCCTTCTCTTCTTGCGACATGCATCCTTGAATGGAAATCGTCGATTCGTCTCTACGGTATTGTCTGTTGTTGTTGATTGATCTTCTCTATCACGAACGAAAGATGTTTCGGACATTGCCATGTTGTACCTGCAAATCTTTACCTTCCCTGAGGTTTAACATAACCTCAAGAAAAGTCTATCGTGAACTAATCTTTCTTGTGATTTCCCAAATTTTCAGAATTTGAGAATCGAGGCACTGGATATACTGATAAGTCTTGTCTTATTAGACAGACCATCTTCGACTTTGACATGACTAGCCTCAACATTCACATAACTGGATAACCCTGAATTGACTTTAATATGACTATATAACTCTTACTTGAGCTCTAGAAGCTATCCTGAGATAATTAATTAGTCATCTCGGAATTGGAACATGACATTTACTGACTTACTTGGTCTGATAAGGTGCGACTTCAAGTTTCCAGGTAAATTTAGAATAATAGTCCGTATATCAGACCTCCTTATTTAACCCGGCTTAGAAACTATTATACGTCGACCTTAAACTCATGAACATTGACTTTAAATCGTGATCATTGACTTTGAACTATGAACATTGACTCATAACTATGTATTGTATAGGGCTGCTCCAGTATCAACTGGTCCCGCAAGTACAAAGGAATTAACTGATATTGAGCATTGAAAACCATAACTTGGAATATAAAACTGATAGAATACATGACATAACTAACTTTAAAGGTTGTTATTACATGAAATTATCCTGTTCTGGTCTCAGTTTCAAGTCTCCATGGTATACCCGGCTTAATGGCTCTTATTTCAAGCCTCCATGGCAACCCAGAATATTGACTCTTATAAACTGGAAACCGTTACTTTTTACAATGGCCTTAAGCATTATAACAACCTTTAGCATGAAAATTTAATCTTGAACTTGATTTACTTATCTGACTTAGGAAAATTGAGTCTATTCCCTGATCTAACTCAAGGAATTCCTCCTTGGAATGTGCCAACTGGTTGGCAAAATGGGCAACTTTGATAGAAAAATGTCTGAGGAACATGATTTCTAAGATTTATACAACATAAGTGCTTACAATTCTCTTGACGAGTCGTTAACTTGACCTGGATAAATCTAGAATTTAATCTAGAGTTCTCAGACTTATCCCCTTTCTAAGGTTCTGAATTCTGATTCAAGCATCCTCACTGATGACATCATACTGAGTATAGACATTGTAATTCGAAGCTGATCAATAAAGCACACAAATATCTTGACGAGTTGCTCAACATGTCTAGGAAATACTGGCATTAATCATGGATATACTGAACTATTATTCCTGAACATGATTCGAGCATCTTAACTAAGTCATAACTGTGGTTTTTCTGAGCATAGACATAGTAACTTGTTTATAATTTAAAACATGAATCAACACTTACCTGTAGTCGGCGAGGCGTGAGCGTGACGTGTTCAGGTTCTTGAAAAATTTCTGACTCGTAAAAATTTTCAGAGATGCAGAAATGTGCTCTGATACCAACTGTAACACCCCGCTATTTCATGAAAATCAGAGTGCGTTTTTCGCAAAGTTTTTCCAAATAAAAACATTTATTTTGCGAAGTACTGATTCGGAGTGCTACCA